GGTAAAATATGCATTCTGCATGGCGTAGACGACAAAGACATTGGTAGAAATAGCATTCTGCGACTGGTAGTACTGAAGCAAAATGTGGAATATGCTATATGCGATATGTAGAACTTGTGCAATTCGTAGAATACTTATTTCTACCACTCGTAGAATGATATAAATTCGCAGAACACATAATCTACTATTAGATTCGACCATGGTAGAAGGAAAAATAAATAATTTTCTGTCATAGTTTTTTCAAAAAAATATAAACATGAATCTATATGCCTTGTACATTACTATTTTCTATTTTTCTAATTTTATAAAATTATAAAAACCATTTTTTATTTATTTCCAATATTAATCAAAGGATAGTACAGGAAAAAATAGATACAAAAAAGGTAAATGTTGTTGTGCAAAACACTAATTCAATGTGAATCAATTTGGCAAAATTCCCTTCTTAAATTCTATTGTCGTTAGTTTATAAATTCTAACAATCTTAATTAAATCCATGGTTATTGGTTTATAAATTCTAATAATCCACTTATTGGTATATATTTATTGTTAAATCGATACACGTAATCAATAAATCAAAACACGAAATTTGGTAACTATGCTTATACAAATACGTTTGTGTGGCCCAAAACCCATTTAAAACTTAACCTAACCCTTAATAACAAATTGCATTCATTATTATATATAACAACAAATTTGCATTCATAATAATTTTTTACTGTCGTCTCTTCTCAAAAAATTAGTTTTTTTAGAATGGCTTTTTTCTATGATGATGATATTGTGGATCTAAATAATTATAAACATACATGTGACATTCCAGTAAAGATAGAAAGCGATTCTTCTTTTTGTATTTATGTAATTTTAAGTATTTTAATTGTATCTAAAAAGCATTTGTTATAAGGTTATACACATGGTACCATGATTCAAATGCAAAACCAAACGACAAAACTCAACAATACTATTATCATGTCTCTCTTCATCTACCTAATGCACATGTACTTTTTAACAATACTATTATCATGGCTCTTAAAATTATAAGATATATTTACAATATTTTAGATTGCTTTCTTCTCCATATTTTTAATGCGTATATCCTCTACATATTTTTCAGAATTGATTTTTTCAAATTCGCTTATGTATCACTAGATTTACTTTCACCAATTTCACCAATCAAAAGAAGTTTTAATCAGTATTTTATAATATTTTCGTTTTTCATTTTAAAAAGGGGCGATTGTAAAACTGCCATTAATATGTATACATTTTCAAAAATGACACTATAGATTGTACATTTTCAAAAATACCACTAATTATAGACTTTTAAAACCTAAACTAGGTGACTCTCCCGTGTACACGCGGACCATTTATTTATATTTTTTTAATCAATTTTACACTTTGAAAATATGAAAATATTTTATATTTTATCATAGACATTGTTGTTTATATTTTTGTTGTTAATTTTTTGTCAAAAATATTATTTTTGTTAATAATATGAATTTTTGAAAATTTACTTATATCATTTTATTATTTTATATACATATACGTGTCAAATCAAATGGATAATAATTTAATTCATTAGACTCAACAATCTATTATAAAAAGTTTAGATTCCTCTCATAAAATATTGAATCCCCTATTTGATCATCTTTTAAAAAAAAAAAATTCACATTGAATTTTAAATAAAAACTAAATTCGATATCGAAAATTTTAGATGGCATATTTTATTCTTATTATTATTGAATCAATGCAAATTTTTATTAATTAATGATGATATATTAGATGGCCTTAAAAGGCATATCAAATTGTTTTTTTTTTTCATTAAGTGTTAGAATCTTATAGTCTCTTTTTTGTGTTATTGAATTTTGAACACTTTTAAATATCAAATCACTTAAAGTCTTTAACCATCCTTTTCCTTC